AAAAAAAAAAAAAAAAAAAAAAAAACACCAAGAAGAAAAACATTTACGTCAAACTAATACGAGCATAGGACAACAAGCGAGATTTGAAACATTTTTCAACATAAATATCACGATTTTTTTAGAGGAACATAAATATTACAACTGACATACCCATAAAGTTTTTTTCTTTAAAATGATTTTGGAATCTATAAATAGTGTCTCTTACGCATTATTATATGAAAAATCACCAACATTTCTACTTATAGCTAATATGATTTATTTATGAAAACATGTAATTTTAATGGGTTTTACTGTAATTTTATTTGCAAGTAAAACCATAATAAATGTATATTATAATTTGGTGGGTGTATTTATAAATCTTAGAGGTGCAAATAGAATTTCTCTTAATAATTTTATTTGAGTTAGAGTCCAAAAGTTTCGTAGATAAATATGACAATTGCATTACCAATCACAATGTGGTCCACTGCCAGGCTGGCAGGGACACAAAAAACTTGTTGCTTGAATTGCCCTATGAAACCAAATAAATCTGAGGCCCCACCCCGGCCAACAACCTTATTGCTTGTGGATAACTGTAGCACCTCGTGTGTATATATATATATATATATATATATATATATGTATGTATGTATGTATATATGTGTATGTATGTAAGTATGTACGTATATTTATTTGATATGAAATTAATATATTGGCCAGCAACCTAAGTAGAGGTGGATAATATGAACCCATTTCCATCCAATAAATCCGTACTACGTTGCGCAAACTGACATTTCCAGATCCTGTCTGCCAATAAACAGAGGACTATTTCCAAGCCATAAACTGTTACCAATTCCATGTTTAATCTTAAGAAAAAAAACAAGTCCATGGTATTGCCAAAACCACAAGCTGGTCTTGCGAATTAATAAATGAGAGTTTCAATTTTCATGTGATGGGTATTTGCAAGGCTGTTCACAAAGTTAGTGGCATAAGTGGAGGTTGGATTTCATCCTTTTGGAGGGCCCCAAGCATTAAATCTTATTAAATCTTACCTAAAAGATAAAATTATATGCTTAAGAACTTCTATTATTCTTGAAAAAGGAATCTGATTCATGTAAAATAGAAGACCCCACTCTACATCTAAACCATAAAAACGACAATGCAAAGAGGAATCCAACTAGAGTTTTTGGCTTTGGAAATTTTATCCCAAATCTAACAAATTTGCCAAGCTAGTATTCCATAAGATACTATGAGCTAATTAAGTTCACATTAGCTTAATGGAACCAACTTGTCTGAGCAATAAACCGGAAGAAGTTAGCTTATTAAAACAAGCATAATGAAATTGAAAAGTAAATTAGAATAAAATTATCTTGACGCCAGGATGACAAAAGAGTGTTTTCTCACATGGTGTCTTTATAGCTACTTTATTAAGCAATTTTTATTTTCATCCCGAGTAGTGCTAAAACCTGTCCACCTTATCGTTCGCGCAAAAATATATGAGAACTTTTATAAAATGTTGAAAGAACTCATAGAACCATAGTGTTATGCAGTAAAGATATTATATTGATAGTCTATATTTGTGAATGTCAAATTTGCTCAAAATCAAATCCACGGAAAAAGGTATGAGAAAATGTCAAATGAATAGAATCCGACATAGATCACTAGCGGCTCAAAACAGAGCCTTATCGATATGATATATGTTCATACCTGCGGTAAAATTCTTTATTCTTGTTACATCTGACGTTACGTCTGGTGTTTCAGATGATATTAGAACACTGTCTGGAACACAGCTTGATTGATTAAGATCCGAGTTAATTACGTTCAGTTTCTCAAGCAGAATAAAGTACAGAAAGTAAAGGAACACACAATATGATATCGCAGTTCGGTGCGCACACCTATATCTGCGGGACCACGCCCAGATAGTAAACAGTTTCACTATGTTCCAGAAATTACAGACACCGGATGGACTTATTCACTTAAGGACTCCCTCCTAGACAAATGACGCCGTTATGACGAATCTCCACAGTGATTGCCTAGCGTGCACCACACGTCTTCTATTCACCTGACGAACTCCCTTCGATCGGCAGAGCTTCCTCCCGAAAGCAACAAATTACTCTCCTGAAGGACGATCTCAATAACTCATAAAAACTCACAGACATCTCTCTGAATATTTTCTTAGTAGTAAGCTCTCAAATTCACATACTTTTCCTCTGGAGACATTCTATTAAATCCGTACTTCATATGCTCTGAAACAAAACTTTTAAATAAAATCAAGAGAATCTCATTCAAATCCACTCTTGATAAGTTCTCTATTATCTCCATGATTTTCTCTCCTAGATATGCTCCAAAATATCTTCACATTATGTTCACAATCTCCAATTCAAATTATATAGCAAACTTCCAAATCCGAATTAGTTATCCTCATTACAAGTTAACACTTGATCTCGACATGTTCTTCATTAAACACGGAGAACTTCCTCTTATCCAAATCACACGAACACATCCAAATCTCAAATAATTGCACATTCATTTGCAAGACACGTAGCTCCATTGACTCTTCTATATGATCTCCAATAACACTTTTCAATTTCAAATTCAGTTTGTACATCAAATTCAATAAATCCGAATTAATGCCAACTTCAATTCCCACAAGTTGGATAAGCTGCAAATATCAAAACTATATCTCCTTATCTCTTTCTAGAATCTCATTTAAATTCAAATAACAAATGCATTATCTTTTTTTTTTACTAAGGTCTTATCCTTATCTTTTCAAATTTAATTCTGAATCTTCTTCTACAATACGAAATCTTCTTAAACCTATTTTTTAAATATTTACAAGATTGTTAATAAATTACCGACTAATAAAAATACCTAACAATTCTAATCATGTAAAACCCACAGAACTATCCCGTACTTGTAAACATTGATACAAATGAACCCAACCTCTAATGCACCTTTAAGATGTAGATGGTGATAAAGATGGATACATGATTGACAGTATGGAACACAATTATGGCCCTGCGGGTTCTTTTCTACATTAAACTTCCATGGTTGGTTGCTAGGGGTAGTTTCGGAAGCAAACAGTTTGCCCTAAAAATAAGCATTGGAATGGTTGCAAAGAGTCTTTTCTATTAAAGTTTAAAGGAACGCAACTGCCACATTTTTTACTTTTACGAGTTTCTTTAAATGCTTCTCTATAATTTCGTGTTTAATTTAATCCTAAGAAAATGAAGCATCGATTAGTCTTTTTTTATTTTTTTTAAACGATGAGAAATGTACACTATTGATATGAGATCGAACCGTAGAAAGGCCTTTTCTATTATGTTTTTTTTTCTTTCTTTTATTTTTAAAATGGCGTTTATTATGTGGTTAGTATAATAATAATGTTATTCGGTATATATTCACGGTCACCATTAATCTTATAGGCTTGGGCCAACATAGTTTGGGAGTTTGGGTACAAGTGTTTTTGTCTCGACCCAACTAGGACTAGCCCTATCTCTGCATTTGGGTCAATTTGTTGGTTTTCCAGTTTATTTATGGCAACACAGTGTCCCTTCTCATGGCCATATCCATCATCTCCATTTAATATTTGCGTGCATTTCAAGGCAGATCATGTGCTCACAGCCAGACAGCTTTAGCTTTGTGATGCAGTCACCTTTTTAAGCAAATGTATAGATATTTATTTCTAGCAAAAAAAAATGTGTTTAGATATTTACACTTCATACATTACACCGTTCAAATACATAATACAATATATACTATTATGTGATAATTTTTAAGTTTTGAAACTTGAAAAAATTATTTGAAAAATCTATGCATCAATCAATAACTAAATATCAAAAATTAACATATATCATATATTACCTTTAAGAGTATATAAATTTGAATTTCTACCACTCATTCTTAATTAATATCTTTTTGTTAGTATAATTATTTGACTAAAAAAAATATCAATTAAGAATAAAAGATATAAATTTTAATTCATGCACTTTTAAAGAGTATTCACGCGTTTAATTTTCAAACCTTAATGTCAATTTATATCGGTGTATCAATTTGGCAATGTGAGGATATGTTCTTAGTTGGACAAAACTCAAGCTAATCATGCAATTAAAGGTTTTTGATATGCCATATTTAATTGTGTACCAGCAAAGGCAGAGACAAAAAATATCATGCATTGTTTTGTTCACGGAAATGAGAAACCAATCACGACACAGGAAACACCACGTGAAGTGAGCAAAAGCGTGTACACTAGAAGAGCAAAATACAAAATTCATTCACATTCTAGTTCATTACAAGAAAAATAGATGGAACAATGAGAACCACGGGGACAAGGTGGGATTGAGAGCTAATTACATTTCGGAAGGCCAAGGGCTATGATATCTACACCTAAAATTTGTAAAACCCAAAAAAAAAAAAAAAAATCAAATAAAATAAAGAGATGGACATAATTCTATTAATCAGTCATCTGTCCCTCATGACCGGGGAGAACGGCGACCTCGTCGTCTGAAAAATACTCATTCACAACGCTAGATCCCTCTTTGTGTAAGTCGGAATGTCCATGGTTGCTACAGCCCTGTGCAACAGGGTCGCTGTTGGATCTCCCTGAGAGCGAAACCAGACCAATGGCTGCAATGCTGCTTGCAATAACATCAACGTCCCTCGTTCCACCGTAGAGGCCCCGGCTCCCGGCAACAATCATACTTGGATTCTCATCTGCCTTTGTTAGAACAGCGGGCAATGCATCCATCAAGGGAGGGTTTGTCGGGCTTGAACCACTGATGAGTAGCCGCAGAGTCTCTCTTGCACCCTTTTCAACCATGGATTCGGTTTCAGGAATTAATGGGTTGACAAGATTTGGGTGCAATGGAGGAATGGTGGTTGGCATAGTGGGACCAGCACTAACCAGATAACCTGGCCCTGATGAGCAAACACCAATAACTGGAATGTGAACAATTGAGTCGCATATTAAAGGTGTAAAGGTTGGGATCTGCTGAGCAGTTGGCCTCGGCAATCGGACCAACGGGTCTGGAAGAAAAGCAGGAAAATCCAAAGAGGCAGTATCAACCAGATTGAAAGGTGGTGTCTGTGACAACAAGCTGGAGGGAATTGTAGCTGGCAACAAAGAGGAGAGTGGCGGTAGCGAAGGTGATGCGATTGATGAGCTAGAAAGCTGAGAGGACTCTGCTGAGAATTGCAGTGTTGATGCACCAGGAGGACACCAACAATAGTAGGGGGATAAAAGTGGAGCACCCATAAACGGAACTTGGGATTCTGAACTTCGAGCTGGTGGAACAGCCAATTTTCCTAATGAATCCAGAAAGCAGGAAGTAGGTAACGAGCAACTTCTAATGCTTTCTGGGATCTTGTCATTCTCACCAGGATTTAAAGATCCATCAGTTGCAACTACAGCTGCTACGGCACTTAGGTTATCAATGGCCAAATGGTTGTCCCCACGCCGCCTCAACTTTTCCCTAGCAGCATTTTTTAGGGAAGACAAATTTCTGGACAGGCCTTCTTTAAAAGAACTTGATCTCGGACTCAGGCTGCCCTGAAATGATGAATTTGCCCTTACTGCCTGACTGCCAGCATACCGTGATCTTAGAGATTTTGCTGGCATGGATGAGAATTGTCCATCCTGGGGAGTCTCCGACTGCTCACTTCTGGCATCCTGATGCCTTTGTGAGCCAGTTAAACTTGCTGGGGTTCCAATCACAGTTGATCCAACAAGATAGGCACGAAGGTGAGTTGCAAAACAGCCAAGCCGCGACTCACTGATTCCAGTTAATTCGGCAACAGAGGGTCTCCTAGCCAGTAAATCCTTCATCTGACACAGTGATGGAAAATTTGTCAATAATCAGAACAGACAAAAACCACAAATTATAAAATCATCGAACCAAAAAATTCGTGCTTATTATCCTTTAGTTGTTGGAATTTTGAAAAACAGACGTATAAAAAAAGAACATATATAATCCATTTCCAGCCTAAATCCTTTTTCTTTTTGACATAACCTTAAACACATAGTAGAGTACATTTTTCAGGTTTCCTAGCAACTTGAGCTCAAAAGAAATTTACAACTTATGACTTTGATCAAAAGGTCAATTTGATAAGCTTTTACTTAGGCAAGTTTTCATTAGGAGGAATAAGAGGGTTGGGTCAGGTGGCAATAGTTTGTTATTGTGAAGAGGGGGAGGCTATGATTGTTAGGAGGGGAAGTTGTTAGTTACTGAGGACTTTAGGTTGTTAGGAGGGGAAGTTGTTAGTTACTGAGGACTTTAGGTTGTTAGGAGGGGAAGTTGTTAGTTACTGAGGACTTTAGGTTGTTAGGAGGTTAGTTAGAGGAATTGAGGGAAATAAAAAGGAATAAGGTAGCTGAGAGATGGGGAGGGAAGTAACTAGAATTTGTGTGGGACAAGTCTTGGAGAGTCTCCAAGAAGGGGAAAGTGTCCAGTCTCTTGAATTACTGGACTTTACTTGTACTACTCTTTCTTGAGTTTTCAGATCAGTAAAGTTTTTCAGTTCAATATTTTGTTTCTGTTCTTGTAAGAAAAGGCCAGAGTCTATCACAATTCTAGTTAAAAATATAAAAAATATAAAAATTTACCTTCACAAGCAACTCATTCCCCAGGAGCTTTGACTTCTCTGAACACCAAAAATAAAAAGTTTGGCCATCTGAGGCTTTTATAAAGAAAGATCGACCAGAGTTGTCTGCTGCAATCTCATTGACTGTTATAGAAGAATATTGAGATTTGGTACTTAAGGTGAATAGCCTCTCAGTATGGCCATCGTCACCAACGAACGAGAGGCGTAAATCAGATGTTGGCAACACTGTAAGAGTAAGAGTTCCCCTGTGCCAGAGTAGAAAAGAGAATAGCTAATAAGTATAAGATTGTTAAATGAAAAGCAAATGTTAAACGAAAAGCAAAGCATAAACCACAAAAGAAAAGTAGATGTATTAAGCTCAAGATTTAACAAAAATGCAAAAGCAGCATAAAGTTCTGTGTATAGATTCATTGAAAATAAAAATTGCATGAACTAAAACAACTAACAAGCCTCAAATGAATAAATGTGCCCCCTGAAACTTAAAAGAAAAGAATAAACTAGCGAGTGAAGTGATTCACGGGTGTGAAGCACGAACGAATAGGAGGGAGGGAGCTTAGCGTCCCGACCATTCCGAGATTAGGAATGGAGTAAAGGGACAACCTTATTATAATAAAATATAAAATACCTGCTTAAGAAAAAAAAAAAAATTCAAAGAAAATGAGTTCTTAAACTTAATAGTATCCCATCTCATCCCTTTATCACTTAGCCTACGACCAAACCCAAAAGATTTTCCTAATTTATCCAGTAGTAAAAAGTGAAAAAAGAGTGACATAATCCATCTTTAATTTCATTTCATAAGAAATCAACAAAAGAATATAATAGGACATTAAATCAATCGTCTTAAGAGCTAATCAAGGACCATGAATCATACACGACTAAAAACAATTCAAACTTGATACCAGTTTTGCAGGAGGGACTTCAAACCAACATATGAAGCCATTATTTTTCTCCACTCGTTACTAATCTGCTTGACTACTCTCTCTCTCTCTTGCTTGAACATCTCTATTACATATATTACTAGCAACATTGTTGCACATTCTCTGATATGATTTTCAAATCCTAAACCCAAACAACATGGTATAAAAATTTAGCTACTTTCAATACATGATATTGAAATTGGCTATTTGATTGATGTAAAAGGACACACCATGCTCCAATAACAATGACTTTATTGTGCACCATGCCATGTTAGTTAAGAAAGAATTATATACATTACGAAGATCCTCATAAGTTTGGTTGGATTGCATAGGATATCAAGAATATGCATAAAGATATGACAGAGGACTGGAGAAACAAATTACATCTAACACTGCAATAGCAAATCTAACTTTCAGTGAGTCACAATTTGCTCGATCACAATCAATTGACAAAGAATTTATCTGATATATAAGAAAACATATAGAATCCGAACCAAAAAAAATTAGAGAGAGAGAAAGAGAGATACTACGAGGCACCGAACCAAGAAAGAAGTCAGCAATGAAGTACAATTTTTAATTACAACAACTTAAGCCAAGGAAAGAGAAATTACAAGTAAATTTACATAAATTAGGAAAACAAATGAATAATGGAATAAAAGAACAATTAATGTTACGTATACAAAGTGATAAACAATGACATAAAACCTGACTCAATCCTATGTATCCAAAAAGCAGCAGCTATATAATATAGGATCATGAAACTACCTTTATTTCCTCTTAATTCAGAGATCATAATAGAATACGCCCACTTTACCTACAAGTCAAAAGATATATTTATTTGGAAGGATCAACATTATCACCATCAATAAGCTTAAACATAGACTCCTGATCTACTTAATATTAATAACTAAGGGACACACTTGGAGCAGCATTACATTTGCAATGCAAATTTGATGTTAGAGCTAAACAGTCCTTTTCCAACTTGAACTTAATTGAATACATGTAAACCCATGATATCATATCAGCCACAAATTATGCAAGCCAAAGGCCAACAATTCAGAGGATCAGCAGCAAACAGATAAGTTGAGTGCAGACACAAGGATCCAAGTGGGTTCTATTCTTCCTGGATTACACTTTCTCCTAACGGGGTTTTGGAGTTAAATGAACCCATTGCTTACGTTCCTCATTCATCATACCAATAGGGCAAACATACATCACCAAACTAACCTTTCATGGTGCGCCCCATATCAAACTGCAACCACGACTAAGGACATAGAATTTACCATGCAGATAATAGGATAAAGGTATTCAATTATTAGAAAAGATAAAGAATAGGAAATACTAAACAGTTCAAGGAAGAAAAAAAAAAAGCTAATGACATAATACATAACTAAATGTGGTGTCATCAAGTAAAAAAATAAATAAGCAAATAAATAAAAGAATTCAGAAGTAAAATCTCTAACAAATATAAGTAATAACCAATGTAAAAAATAAAAACAAAATGCTCCAAAGCATGTAGAAACGCGGCACCTAAGAATTAATATCAGACAACCAAACTCACTTACGTACATTAACTTGTTTGATATGCTGTAGAACATCAAAACATAATCAATTACAGATATATGTTAAACCAGCTGCCTGCATGAAATGTCAAAAACATGATATATGGCATAGAGAAATCAAGTAGCATGAAATATGCAAGACAAACAAGATGCATGCACTTGATATCGTATAGACTAACAAAGGATGAGCTGAAAACATCATAATTAGTTTGTAATACCGACACGTGAAGTCTGGTTTAAATGTATAGGGGCATTGCCCAGCACTCACACTAGTTTCATAGTGTCGACAAACATAAATATTCTGGGGAAAATATAATGGTGAATAAGCCAAGAGAAAGGGTGAAAACAGGCATTCACGACATAAAGAATCAATAAAAGCAATAAATGCCAGATGAATTCAGTATAAATAATAGAATAGTAAGCCGATAATGATTCATGGTGATAGAAATTTTAAAAGAACAATTATTACCAACAAAAATCGAAAGGGATGAAGATATTGCACAGAGATCAATCTTGAGCAAAAGGCCAAAAAGGCACTCCGATATCCATATAATTGATTTTACCTTGTAGCAGTGGGGCAAAGTAGAGTCCCTTGCTTGTTGATCTTTCCCACACGAATTGAAACAAGAGGTATGCAGAAGCACCGGGCTAGCATACCGACTTCCACAGGCTCAAAATGCTGTTCACAAAAAAAATAAAAAATAAAAAATAAAAAAAAATCATCCAGTCAATATACTACAATAATTAGGAAGAACCTAAGCAAATACTAATCCAAAGTAACGAATTACATGCACAAAATTCAAGCAGATGCACAGAAAATCGAGACAATTCCAATAATTAACGAATTAAGTTTCAAGAAATTTAGCATCAATTTCACGTGTTAGACTCACGGCCAGTTGATGAAACCGTGCAACCCTCACAAGCCACCAAACCAATTTTCCTACATGAAATTGCAAAACAAGCTTCCAAGAACTGAAACAGAGAATTTCTTCAATCAAAAGAAGTCTAAATCACCACGAAAACCTCATCGGACTATCTTCCAACCGACACAAACACATACCTGGCTTAAATGAGCGAGCAAGCGATCTTCCGCAACGCCGTTCGAAGCATTCATCTTCAACAACGGCTTCAACCTCTCGTCCGTTCGACAAGCTCCCATAACTTGCATATCAAGCGCCTGAAGCCACTGCAAAACCCTGTCCTCTCGATTGTTCTGCTGGAGCAACAGATCGCCGTCGCCTTCTTCCACGAGAATTTCCGTCAAACGCTCCTCCAGCCCAATCTCTCTAGATCGGCCGCCAGCGGTCTCGCCGGCACTCAAAGAAGACGAATCGTCGAATTCCGTGCCGTTAGATTGATCGACGACGCCATCAACGCCGTCGGTCCTGTCTTCGTCGTAAGAATCTCGGTTTCTCCGGTCGGCCATGGCAAATCAAAGTGATCTGAGACAAAAAAAATCTCTTCCAGAAAACAAAAACAACAAAAGATTCCAATTCCTGATTAAAAATTTTACTGATTTTCTTGTTTTCTCCTTAATTTTACAAAATCGCAATCTCGTGAAACCCTAGAAACAGGATCAAAATCGTCTTCCAAGCCGAATCGCGTGGCTGATGAGGTGATAAAAGATGGCGCTCTCTCTCTCTCTCTCTCTCTCTCTCTCTCTTTCCCTTAGAGAGAGAAAAAAATATCTCCCACGCAAATCACTTTGGCAAGAAATGCAAATGTAAAGGATAAGAAAGGAGAAAGTTCCTATTTTATTTGTAGTACAGCTCTTGGGCTTGGGCCTTGGTGGGCCCCGATCGGGCACACGTCGGACTCGAGGTCGGTTTATGAAGTTCGATTTTGAGTCGGTCTTCAGTTCCGGGGACCTTTGATTCAGATAGTGCAGCGTCAGCTTTCCCCTTACGGTGTATTTGGTTGGGGGAAAAGAATGGAAAGGAAAGAATCCTAATTCTAATGTTTAGTTAGCTAAAATTTATAGAATGAATATTCTCTTAGAATGACTTTTCTTTTAATTTAGTGGAATTGTCATTCCTGGCATGAATTGACGATTCCAATCAAGATTTATTTCTTTTTCCTTTTATGTCCTTATTTTTTTTTACCGTCATCTTCAACCAAGACCAATTACCATCATCTTCAACCAAGATCCACCACCTCCCTCTGCCCCATTATCCTTCTCCGACCTAGATTCAGCGCCTACGTTGTTCCGGTGAACTCGAGTTCTACTTCACCGCTGTCATCCCTTGCCCAAACTGCCTCCGCCCAGCGCCGCCAACGAACAAATCCTCCTCCTCCACTCTTGCACAAATCTACCTATGTCTAGGCCAACGAAACCCACCCCATCCTCTCACATAATCTAAAATTCTCATCAACCAAAATGGGAAATCCTAAAAACTTGTCATCATTTCAAATTCATGAATTAAAGAATCAGAAATCTCATGAACATAAAAACCCCCAAAAACCCATTAGATTGTTGGCCACCATAAATCTCAAACATTTTTGTCAGCGTGAGAAGCATAGACGATTTTTCTTGGATTGGGAAAAAAAAAAAAAAGCTTCATAGAAAGGCATACATGACACCACCAAAAACGAAGCCAAAGGAGAAGTAAAAAGAAATTCTCTGGCATCCACTCGGTGAGGTCATCTTGTGGGTATTTCATAGTTGTGGAGAGAAGAAGAAAATTGAAAAAGAAAAAAAAGAGGTCAAGCCATTAGTGCTCTGGGTTTATCTGGGTTTGGGAGTGAGAGAGACGGGGTTAATTTTGTCCAAATAAAAATACTCATATTCATTTCTATCGTATTTATAAAACCTTAATCAAACAAATGAATTATCTTTATTTTTCATTATATTCTATTACTATTACCATTCCTATTACCATTATTATTTCACTACTGTAACCAAACGCACCTTTAGATGGGACCGGCAAGTTCCGTGTAAGGGCCCACTCTCTCATCATTGGGAGGTGCCACGTCATCACTTTAGCCGACCCCTCACGCTTCGCTAAGTGAGAGAGAGGAAAATAATTCTTTTATATTAAGACCGTTTTAGGTTTTTAAAGTTAAAAATTCTCAAAAAATATCACATTTAATTTTTTTTATTACAGTTAAAAACTCTAAAAAAATATAATATCTCAGTTCGAATTGACTATTCGAATCCACAAAACGAACGAAACCTAAAATTATTATTCAAGGAAAATTGAATGACTATGAAAAGATACCGGATGCCATTCTTAAAAAAAAAAAAAAAAAAAAAAAAAAAAAAAAAAAAAAAAAAAAAAAAAAAAAAACTTAAGATACAATTCTAAATTTAATATAACAATTTAAATAATTATGATGATTTAATTAAATTTTAATTAGTAAAATATTTTTCATACTATATTACTAAGTTTATTAAATTTAATATAATAAATGAGAATTTGGGGAGAAGAAGAAGTGCGACATCATTAACACAACCAGCAGCACAAGAAGGGGAAAAGAGAGCTGTTTTGGGGTAATGGCCAGCCTTCCTTGAAGGCCGCTACTTTTCTTTTGTTTCTTTATTTAGCGAGACCATGAAAGGGACTCATAAAATTATTAATTTGTTTTTCAACCAATAAATTGTTCTTGATGTGTCACGTAGGACCCAATCTTTTTCCAAAATAAAAAATAAAAAAAAACGTACTTTAGGACCCAGAAAAAATTATGAGTATCTTTCTTGTGGGGCCTGCTTTTATGTATAGCCTGCTTTTGTGCATAGATTTTCAATTTTCGATTTCTTTAGAACGGAAGGCCATCACATCATTCGTTATTCATTCTGTTGCTTGAATACAAAATTTGTTGTATGGGCGTAGGAGAGTCCAGGATTTGATGCTCGGAGTATATTCTCGAACAGCGGTTTCCAATGAAAAGGTCAATAGAGGTGACCCAAATATTTTAATCCTATTAGAATTAGAGCTATTACTATATACATTTTAAAAATAAATACTAAGCCATTTAGTAAACATGTTAAAGTGTTTTGAACTAAAAATTTGTTTTAAACCAGCAGTTGATAAAAATTATTTGAAACTTGGTTTAAACCAATGATTAGATGAGGTCGGTCGGGCGGAGAGTGACGGAGTATTCCCTCATCCCCACCTTAACCTCGACACTGAGAGAAAAAAGTATCCCCATCCCCTTCCAAGTCCCGTTACTAAATTCCCCATCCCTACCCTACACTTACTTTTTAGTTAAATCATTTTGACCTCGTCCCAAAATCAAAATTGTCCCACGGCCACTGCCACACAAAGGGACAGTACAAAACAAGTGGTTTGTTCAATTGTATTTTTGAGTTATGATGACTTGAGTGTAAATCTTACGTTAAATTTGAGTTATAACTTGAGTTGAAGTTGTAACTTGAGTTTGTATTTATATGTGTACATTTAAATTATGATTTGAGATGTGAATCTTTTTGAGTTTGTGTTTAGATAAATCAAAACTTGAGTTTATATTTAGATAGTATTTTAATAAAAACTCAATAGTAATGAAAAAATTTAATAGAGTATATAAGTGAGATTTTATTTGTCTTTTCATTGTGAACGAATAAAAAAATAATTTCAATCAAAATTAAAACGAAAAAGTTATGACGTTTTTAAGAATAAAAAAAATATTATTCATTAACTTAAGTTTGAGTTTAAGAACTTAAGTTGAAGGAGGAAAATTGAATTCATATTTTAACCCTAAACTCAAGTTAAAACTCAAATTTTATAAAAAAACACGAACTTAAATAAAATTGTAACTTGAATTCAAATTTTTTTTGAGTTTGGGTGCAAATGAAGAAGTCCAAAGGTTGTTCACTGCAGCAGCAATTCAACACAGGACAGGCCAATGCGGCAATAGCTGTAATAGAAAAATATCAAACAAAGATGGAGTTAAATTACATATACTGCACGCACTCGATCGTTAATCACATTTTTAATCATATGAAAATATAAACAGAAATGCAAATTTTAAGAGAATTTGACATAGATCTGACTGTTTAGACCGCGCAACCGATCGTATCATAGGATTCTCTAAAAGGAAAAATCCAACTTTCTCAATTTCAGTAACGGAGAGACATGGCTAAAAATCATGCCATAACTTGCCTTCTAAAATTGGAAGAAACTTCGACAAAGGGTTTGGTTTTAAAATTATCAATGTAAAGAAGCATATCACTCCGCATAAAATCTATGATTACACGAAAGTATAACTATGGCTCTTCCTGCCCAACTAGTGTTGCTGTTGCCCTACCAAATGAGGTTTGAAGCTTGAATCATTTTCTCTTTTTTGGTTCTTTCGAATATTCATCAACCAATGCTTCAACATCTTTCCAGAAAATGCCCTCCACCAAAACTCCATCCTTGGTGAACCTGCAATGTTAGAAAAGTGATCAGAATGAAAAAGCTCTTAGCAACTTAAAGAAAGCAGAAACACATGTGCATGCAGTCATTATGCACACACACACATAGAGAGAGAGAGAGAGAGACCACTTAGTAACACTCTTTGTCAACTCTACTGGTGGATTGGCAGAAATGGATTTGGGATCCGCACTCGCTATTGTAAGCGTGTATATATCAGAGAATCTTGGCAACTTGGAAGAGACCTCCAATCCAGTGCTTGTGAAGGATCCCTGCAACACAAATGTTTCAACTGAGATGCAGAACATCACAGAGTTTATAACTTCACTACATGTCGTAAGGATGGCAAATTATGTCATGAGCATAACTTCACATGTTCAAAAGACCAGTAATGACAGCTTGAGAGACCGCCAATGTAGTAATGGAATCAAAACATTACAAAATAAATTTTTATTCCAAGTTCATCTTACATTCTAAATAATAGAAGATTGATAACCATATGATCGTAAAAGTATATATCAATTGGAAGTTGCTTGTTGCTTGTTGCTTTACTCATAAAGCAAAACAAAGAACAAAACTTCACTCCAAAGAAAGATTACACGAAATGACACCTTTAGGTCTAAAGGACTAATAATACAATTTGCATTCCAAATTGACAGGCAGCTGAAGCAACCTTGCCAAACCTCAGTAAAGATCAGTCAATGCATTCTCAATAGTTTGATCATCAATTGTTAGTAGATGGAAGTCGAATCTCAAAGCATTCAAAAGGAATATACAGTAATGCCTTTTTTATACCTGATCTAATTAGTACTGTTACATCAGAATCAGATATTTTGAAATACAATGGAAAATACAACATCTTCCCTAGATAAGAGATTACTACTACTACAGAACACATGATGTTTATATTTCCCCTTATCTGTAGTTCAATACAAATAACTCTTTCCTCACATTTTGGGTCAAACTCATTACTAGTTCCAAAATTATGGGCCAAAACTCATTTTGGTCCCCGACTTTTAAAACGTCACGAAACAAGTTCCCAATCTATCAACGTGTTGTAGTAGTTGTATTACTGCTACTACAACAGAACACATGATGTTTATATTTCCCCTTATCTGTAGTTCAATACAAATAACTCTTTCCTCACATTTTGGGTCAAACTCATTACTAGTTCCAGAATTATGGGCCAAAACTCATTTTGGTCCCCAACTTTTAAAACGTCACGAAACAAGTTCCAATCTATCAAAGTGTTGTAGTAGTTGTATTACTGCTACTACAACAGAACACATGATGTTTATATTTCCCCTTATCTATAGGTCAATACAAATAACTCTTTCCTCGCATTTTGGGTCAAACCCACCACTAGTTCCAGAATTATGGGCCAAAACTCATTTTGGTCTCTAACTTTTAAAACGTCACGAAACAAGTTCCCAATCTATCAAAGTGTTGTAGTAGTTGTATTACTTCTACTACAACAGAACACATGATGTTTATATTTCCCCTTATCTATAGTTCAATACAAATAACTCTTTCCTCACATTTTGGGTCAAACTCATTACTAATTCCAGCATTATGGGCCAAAACTCATTTTGGTCCCCAACTTCCCAACTTTTAAAACGTCACGAAACAAGTTCCCAATCTATCAAAGTGTTGTAGTAGTTGTATTACTGCTACTACAACAGAACACATGATGCTTATATTTCCCCTTATCCATAGTTCAATACAAATAACTATTTCCTCACATTTTGGGTCAAACTCATTACTAGTTCCAGAATTATGGGCCAAAACTCATTTTGGTCCCTAACTTTTAAAACGTCACGAAACAAGTTCCCAATCTATCAAAGTGTCTCAAATTAGTAACGGAAAAAAGACATGGTTTCCTTCTAAAAAAGTAACCTAACATGTAATACAAAATTAACTCCATCCAATCTGCACATATCCTCACCTGCTTCTTTTGTCCAAATTTTAATGGAATGAAGGGGCGGAAGAATTAATTTCAGACAATTTGATAGATTGAAGACTCGTCTAGACATTTTAGAAGTCAAGGACCGAAATGTGATTTGGCCTATAGTTCATGGACTAAAAATGAGATTAACCCTTATAATTTTGTATGCACGTTACTAATCTCTTAATCTAAAGGGCAAGCTATCTCTCGGATTAGATCATTCATAGAAAGAATAACAGAGACAAATAGGTATGCACATATTTAGTAGATCACCAGTAAAATAACATCTAATTCATAACGGTATAAAAAATGGTAAGCCAAAAAAGATATATATATATATATATATTATACCGCAGGAGGGTAGGTAAAGAGGATTGCATTCTTCTCCTTTGTGTATATGATCAGCTGCAACAACCCATTGAAGACTATATACTTGCCAGAGTCAAGATAAAACACACTCCAACATAGCACCAATTAAAATTAAAAAAAAAAAAAAAACTAATACACTCCATTTCATTTAGTGGTCAAGCTTATGAACTTATCAGAATCTTTATTTATATATAGAAGAATTCTCAATTTAGCCAAAACTGGCGTTAATTAAAAAAAAAGCCCTTTTCCTTCACTAATCACGTCTAATGGATCAAATTCTGATTAAAAAATATAAAAGAAAAGGATATAATACGATGCAAGAGATGAGGAAATCGCGATTCTCGGGGAACTTCTTCTTGTAAAACTGAGCGAAGAGAGCAATGACGATGATGACAGTTCCGAGCAACAATCGAACATTGCTCAGCCTCACGTCTTCTACATATCCACGGCTAGATACGATCTATTATAAATTCAGTGAAAGGAAAAAAGAAACAGAGAAAAATTGAATCAGAATAGCACGAAAAACCTAGAAAAGAGCGAGATCGGAGAAATGATTGCTGACCTCGGAGACGGTCTCGTCGAGGATATGTTTGATGGAGTGGTGATCCAGGAGATTGGCCTTCTTAGGGTTTTTGGTCGCCGGCTCTGGTTTCTTGTCCGCCATTTTTGTTGGGGGAAGTGGAGAAGAGAAGGGGTTTGGGGAAGACTTAGGGGCTTTTTGTCTGAAAATGGTTGACACGGGGAGTATGGTGGTGGTCCGGGGATAATCCAATTTGAACGGGTTTTAGTATGTCTATGCCTAGGTGCGTAATGCGCACTCACCCAAGGTGTTTCTTCTTTGATGAATCAATAGGGGGGAAATTTTTTTTCTTCTAAATAAAAAGTATGAGACAAGGAGACCAGCGTTATCATATCCAGTGCTGAACTTTTGGGCGGCGGGCTTGCCCGATGCTCAAAAATTTTTGAGAACGGCAGGCAGGCCCCTTTCGCCGTCCGAAAATGCTTTTCTTCAGACACGGGCTCGGGTAGCTCGAAAAGAGTAAGCCTCCCCAACAACCCGCCGCCGTGGAGAAGCCGTCCCCCGCCGTTTGCCAGATTTTTTTTGAATTTTCTGGCAATACCCGAAGCTGTCCGAATTGCCCGAATTTTTTGTGACCGTTGCCCGAATTTTGGTGACCGTTGCCCAAATGTTGCCCCGTGCCCGAAAAATGCCCGATTTTTTTTTACCGTTAGCCCGAAAAATGCCCGAATTTTGAAAAAAAAACGGTCTTTTGCCCGAACCCGAATTTTGCCCGAATTTTTGAACCCAACGGTCGGATTTTGTGCCGTTGCCCGAATTGCCCAAAAATTTTGTAGCCGTTGGACCCAAATTTTTGGGGGAAAATTTTTTTTTTTCAACCCAAAAATTTTCCTATAAATACCCCCCCTCCCCCCAACCATTTTCCTCACCCCAAAACTCTTATTCTCTCTCAATTTCTCTTAATCTTTCTCAATTTCTCTTAATCTCTCTTAATCTCACTTAAATCTCTCTCGAATCTCGATCTCTCTTAAGCTCTCTCAAAGCGCTCTCAATCTCTTTTATTTTTCATAATGGCTTCTTCTGGTTATGGTGGTGATATTCCCATTGATGCCCAATTCAACATCGAAGAAGGGCAATTTCCTAATATTTTTTAATCGCAGGAATCACAAACTATGGAAAGAGTTGATGATCAAACTGTAAATCCGACCCCTGGTGGACGTACTAGAGGTCGGGGACGCAAGGGTGGTGGCACAAGTGGCCATGGAGGAGAGGCAAGCGGTAGTGCTAGTGCAAGTGTTGCAAGTTCTAAGAAGAAATGCAAGCGCACCTCAGCAGTTTGGGAGCACTTCAACACATTCGAGGACGTCGACAATAACGGTAACATTAAATACGTAGCTCAATGTAAATATTGTGGTGAGAAATTACAAGGTAACACTATTCAAACACTACACACTTAAGAAGGCACTCTGAAAAGTGTCTTTAAAAGCAAGGGGGCGAAGATCAGCTCCGCCAAACGCAATTATCATTTGACCACCAAACCGGCGGTCTAAGCACGTGGAAATACGATCCGCAAGTTGATCATATGGAAATGGCACGATTAATAGCCACATTAGATCAACCACTAAGTTTTCCTGAACAAAAAAATTGACAACGTTATATTAAAATTGTACATAATCCTAATGTACAATTTTTTTCTAGAACTACTCTTAGGAAAGATGCATTAAAATTATATAAACAAGAAAATGAAGCATTAATCAACCTTCTACACTCTACTAGTGGTTGTGTTGCGTTAACGGCAGATATTTGGTCCGCCGTTGCCAACAAGAATTATTTAGCTGTAACCGGACATTATTATAAAGGTTTTGATTTGGATAAGAGAATCTTAGGTTTCAAATGTGTTATAAGATCACATACTGCCAATTTAATATATAACACAATTTTATCTATTATTGATGAATATAGTTTAAGAGATAGAATAATGGCCATAACATTAGATAATGCAACTGCGAATACTAAAGTAATAGAACTTTTTGAAAATGATTTAAGTTTATTCAGTAATAATGATATTTTTCACCAACGTTGTGCATGTCATATAATTAATTTAATAGTAAAGTCCGGTTTAAAATCAATGTCAGATCATGTTAAAATAATTAGAGATAACATAGCTTGGATTCAAGGTAGTAATCAAAGAATACAAGATTGGTTTAGATTTCTACAAGCATGTAATCAAAATCCTAGAGCATTAGCCTTAGATATGCCCATAAGATGGAACTCCACTTACATAATGCTTGAACAATGCACCCCCTATAAAGATGCTATAACAAATTATGTTAGTGCAAAATTAGGAACAGGATTTATAGATGAGACTGATTGGCAAATTGCCAAACTTTTGTATAACTTTTTAGGTAGATTTCACGAAGTTACCTTAAAGCTAAGTGGAACTTATTACCCAACGTCACCATTATCGTTAGGAGAACTTTTAAGAATGTCTATTTTATTTAGTAAATTTAGGACACACGAGGTTTTA